CGCAGCCAAACTGGTAGCCAATAAAATCTGAGCGCACCGCTGTTTCGTTCGCTTCTACTACTTCGTGAACGCCTGCGCCTCACAAGGAAAGGCTCCCAGGTCGCCATGGCCATTCAAGAAGAGATGTATACCACTAGATGTGCCTTTGAACGCTGATCTCAAATCTACCTTCCAAATCTGCTAAACGATTCTCTGAACGGAGTTATGAAGCAAAACAGCGCAACGGTAGTGGTCGGACTCACAGTCAAAATGTCGTAGGATCGGTCCCTTATCGTAATTACTGTTTTGCATTCTTCAGGAATTCAGTTATATAGGCTATTAAAAGCCGTTTAGCTATATTTCTGAAGAATGGAAAACAGTAAACACGATAGGGGACCGATCCTACGACGTTTTGACTGTGAGTCCCGACCACTACCGTTGCGCTGTTTTGCTTCATAACTCCATTCAGAGAATCGCAGATTTGGAAGGTAGATTTGAGATCAGCGTTCAAAGGCACATCTAGTGGTATACATCTCTTCTTGAATGGCCATGGCGACCTGGGAGCCTTTCCTTGTCAGTAGATTAGTATGATTATTTGTCATATTCGAAAGAACGGGTTTGGTGCGTAACTTCCTAACATAGAAATCGGCCGCACAAGTGTGTCACCGCGCGCGTACCGCGTACATCGCACCTACCGGCTCAGCCTTTGAAAAGGAAATGGCCCGCGGCGGGCCGTAATCACTTTCGTCGCGCGCGTTCTTGACTCGCGTCGTCCCTTTAGGAAGAAGTTCCGTCTTCAAAATTTAACAGAATGAAAAAAGTTCTCATGCATACAACGATATTCATTTGAACAGGGGTTCGCAATTAACAATTTCATCTCTGACTGGTCTTTTTCTTCTAGCCGAAAGACAAATTCGTTCCAATTACAGCGACTGAGCGAACTAGTATCGTACTTCGAGGTTTGGGAGTTATGCGGCGACATGCAAGACTGAGTGTCGTCGAGGAAAGAGGACGATCTAGACTCTACATTGAACCGCTGTCCACCGAAGGAAGGTTAGTGTGTTTATTTGTGAGAGAAAGCATTTCGGATTGATTGCATGCTGGTGTTGGATTTAATTAAATATTCCATATTATTTTGTAGAGTTTGTGTGAACGGGCGCGAAATCTCGGATCGAACACCGTTGAGACACGGCAATCGACTGCTGATTGGCATGAACCATTTCTTCCGAGTGAATTGTCCAAAGGTGCGTCCCTTTATGCTGATCTCACTTCCGGGAGTACTTAGTACTTCAGCTTTCCGGAAAGTATGTCCATACGCGAAGATTGGAAAATACTCCATAACCCTTCTGGGGCAATTTAAATAAAAAAATATTGAAAGAGCTTTGATCACATACCAGCAGCATTAATTTCTACAGGCCACCCTACCCTTGCCTATGGGAGTCATTCCAAAATGTTCCTGGAATTCCCCTCTATGCGTAGATATGAGCGCCTGTTCAGTCGTCCTCATCGTGATCAGAATATGACGTCATCCGCAATCGCCGTCGAGCTCAAGGAGGTCTCCCGTATTGCTCCAGCCTGAATCAGCTACATGATTACTTCATTTCGTTAGCTGATGGATATCTTTCTCGGGACAATAGCTCTGACTGTGCAGAACTCTTTGAGACCAGAACAGACTAACGTCGTAATGGTCCATGATCCGTCGAGGACCACGTTGGGCTCGAACGGTGCACAATGTTCCCATGAAAATTCTTCTGGCGTCGTCAGTGTAGAAGCCTATGATGACATCTATTGATGTATTGGAATGTCCCCTTCGATCTTCAATTAAGAGCGTTCGGCATGGATTTAGCCAAGTAAGATTAAGATTAAGGTCATTTCGGAAGAGGAGTGAAGTGTCTCTTTCTTTTGGCCACTCCTGTATATAAACCAAAGTTTGTTTGTCTATCCGCTCGCCACACATTTGCAAGTGTCCCCCGCAAGTTGTAATTGTTGCTTGGAAAATCACTTAAAGAGGGCGGGTCGAGTTTTTAATGGGCAGTCTATGCGGTGTAGCAGGGTAAACCGTGCGTTGTAGAGATTCCAAAAATTTGACGACCCTTCCACGAACACCACCCTCACCATCATGGCTGTTTCTGTAGGATTCCAGTCTGAGGCCTCTCTAAACAGCGCGACCCCATCCTCTTTTTTCCCTCCAAAACGGCCGTTGAGCGAGGGAGGGGCAAAAACGTCTGAAAAAATCCTAATCTTCTACTTCCACGTGTTCACACTTCTTTCTGGAAAATTTCACCAAAATTCATCAAAAACCCGCCAAGAACGACCCTCTCAACTTCCCTAACTTCTGCTTATACGGCACCCCATTCGTGCTTTTCTCAGGCATAGTCAACCTTGCTC